CTGAGGAGCTCGGCTCTCCTGGTGGTGAATTCTGCCCTAGATCCCTGAGGTGGAATTGCGAGTTCTTGAGAATCTCACATCATCTTTCCATTTTTGCCCAAGCAGCAGCTTCGAGCAATCTTTTTAAGGTTGGAAGAAATCCTGCACCACGAGGATTGGAAGGAATTCTCCAACTTCATCCAATCTCTGTTTTTTCCCACCAAAGTCTATTTCTAGCCCCACTTTGGACGCCACCATCAAGCTGCGATTCAGCTAGTAGCAGCTAGCTGCATCCCTTTTTGGCCTCGAACGCACCGCGCTGCTGCGGTGTGATAAGAGTCTTTGAGGTGCAATGGTACAGAAGTATACCTTGGAAGACCTGGAGGCGTGCCGAGGTCGTGCCGAGGTCCCGTAAGGATGCGCATTGGGTGATGCGCTTACTTGACCGTCCTTGTTTCGATGCGCAAGGTTTAACTGCTCGCGTTGTGTTGATAATGTCATGTTGGAAAAGGCGGGGGGGGGGAACGACAAGTCTGGATTTCTCATGAGATTCTTTCCTTCCACCCAAGCATTTCCAGTGTTTGGAAGTTGGGATGCACGTGGCAGGATATGACCAAGAACATTCTGAAGTCTTTCAGGGACAGTGAACGTTCAGAAGCTTACAGCCAAAGCGCATCCAGCCACTCATAGAGAAGCTGCCAATGTGCTGCCGAAAAGAGTAAGGCGGAACAGCGCTGAAAAAGACGCGCCATTGCTAGTAGGTTTGAGGCCATGGCTCTTAGGTGGGAGGCCATCGCTGATAGAAACAGAACAAAAAGAAAACAGGTCTAAACATAGTTTGCTGCCGAAAGAGGCGTGCCACGTCGCTTGGCCGATCGACACTTCGCAGGTGCTTCGGAGGAGCCCGCAATCAAGGGCTTGTTCCGAGGGGCTTCAGATGGGTGACCAGGTCACTTGAGGGGCCTCAGATTGAACACATGTCTGCCTTTTGTTGCAGGGTGCCAAACCTGATGCGGAACGTTTTTTTTTTTTCCCGCTTTTCAGTGGGGCAGCCGGGCAGCCGGAGACGTCATCTCGTTGGAACCGTGCATCTCTGAAGCCACTTTGAGGGATCTGCAGGACGGGTGTCACCGGTGTGCATGAGTGGAGGCTGGAGCCGGTGCAGCTGGACGGTGTTTCCACCCGTGTTTCTTCATAACCTTTTGGCGAAAGGGAAGCGAAAGACCACTTTTTCGGCAGGAATTTAGGATCATTCTATAACCTCCATGTGGGCATCCTTCGTTCTTCTGTTTAGACTCAAAGGCGATCATCAAGATCAGTCAACAGCGAGACAGATGTGGGTGGCACCTGGCACATGTCACCTCCTATACGAGGTGAAACCAGGGCTTTGCAGCTTAGGCAGCCTCCTGAGTCCTCCTAAGTCCCTAAGGGACCATCACTTGGATTCCAATCATTGCAGATCCAGAAAACGCCATCGAGCTCGCTCTGACACTTGGGGGAAGGAGGCCTCGAAATGACACCAAACCGTGTTGAGAAACTCGTTTTCGCCGTGCTCGGACGTGTCGGCCCCCCCCGTCGTCTCTGCACGCTTCGGCGCTGTGCTCCCCTGCAGAGGTGCACTTTGACCAATGACACTTCGAGTTTTGGCGCCGCTGGCGACGCTGGCCGCCGCGACGTGGGGGCGCCCGGAGCGTAGGCGGTAGGGCTGAGGGCGGAAGCGAGGAGGTCATCTGGTCGACGAGGTGGCTGAGATACCAAGGAAACTATAGAACATCCGAAGCAAGCAAAGGTCCAGGGCATTTTTTTAAGCTGTCAGGGAAACAAGGAGAAGTGCGAACTTGATCACCATCAAGCACAAGTTCGACATACTTGGTTCAGGTGGTTTAATCACGATGTTGCGCGAAAATTCGGCCTTGTGAGGAATGCCACAGAGATGGACACTACCAGTGACCTGGCAGAGCTAGGCACGTTGCAAGAGGCAGGAACTGAGACCGCAGACTGTGCGAACAGTAGGGTGTTCGTTCTTTTTTGGTCCATGTTCTGCTTCATGTAAGGACTAAGCTGCTAGCTAAGCTGGTGTTCAGACCGGGTCTTTTCTACGGAGTCGAGACTAAGATCGTGACCTGGAGGCCTTCAGCAACAGCTTCTTGATGATCCTGGTGACCGAGCTGGGTATGGAGTCCTCAGGGGTCAACCGAAGAACGACGCTGTGGACGGGTCACCCCTGTGAGCGAAAGCGTGGCGCGGGGGGGAACGGCGTGCGTGACGGAGCCGTGTCACAAGAAGCAGGTGGCAGGTGGCCTCTTGAGGCTCTTCCCCTTTGTTTGGCTGGGTGGAATCCACCTGTCACCTTTCCTTCAGGGACGTGATGGAAAAGTGGAGAAGACGTCATTCCTTGAGTCTTGATCGCTCTTTGCTTTTTTGGTTCTGCCAAGAGACTGCTGCCATTGAGGTGATAAGACCTTCTTCATCGCTGCTTTGCTGGCAATGAGACATGCCGAAACCTTAGATTCGTTTCATCCGGCGAAACTCGCCGGATTTTTTTGTTCTCGAAAAAGGCCAGAACTGAGACCATCGGCCAGCTCCTGCTTCTTCTGCTTGGATGATGTTCACAGCTCCTGGATGCTCTTCGTGTCGCCGCGTATCGGAGCGAAGCGGCAGACACTCTGGGATGTGACAATAAATATAGTACTCCCCTCCCCCGCCAACAATAATGGAAGTGGACACACCCGTATTTGTAAGGAAAACCATGGCCATCCAAGAGGATAGCCGCCAGCCTCCCACTCCCATGTTTGCTGGAAAGAAGGTAAGATATCAAGATCACATCCTTCCCAACCCTGTATGTAGAAGTACTGTACCTCTCTCTCTCTCTCTGACCATGAAGGAGGATTCAACCTTCATTGTTCTTCATCAGGACGCTGGCCGTCTTCAGTGAGATCCAACCCCACCGCCGTTGGAGAAGATGCTTTTGGTGCCTTTTCGCTCTCCCAAACTCCCATCGCCTTCACCCGTTCTCCGCTCGAGAAGACCCCCGGTCTCCGCTCGAGACGGGCTTTGCCTTCGCCCCCTCGGTGGGATGGTCGACCGGGTTCCCGACAGTCGCACCAGGATCGCCTGTCCGTCTTCTTCGGCGCCGCCGGCGCGTTGGCGGCGATGACGGTCGCTTGGGCAACAACGAGGGCGACAGAGCGGTCGCAGCCGCGCTCGCGCAGCGACGCGACAGTGAGCAGCGCAGATGAGAAGAACTTCTTTGGGTCAACGATGCTTTTTTTGGCTTTTTCAACCCCCCCAAACCATGGGTCAGCGCAGATCAAGTCCACTCTTGTTTGAACATGGACCGTTTTCCTGTGGCTGGCATTTTGAGACATCACGATGAAAGAAGTAGAAGAGGATCGGTTGGTGTTTTGTTGGGGAAGAAGAATCTCTAGGAGGTCAAAGGATGTCAAAGGTGCATTCCTTTCTTCCAGCGTTTCAGCCGAAGAGAAAACCGTTCGCACATAGAAAAAGGTGCCAATCAGTTTGCCATGAAGGATTCACTATTGTGCAGAGTTCTGCCCTCTACTGTGGTTCTTATGAGGACGACGGGGCTGGAATGACTTGAGATCAAGTCTTTGTCAACCACGTCTTTACACACCTGTTGTTTTCAAGCTAGGGCCAGCAGTCAGGACGGATGAGCAGAAGTCTTGAGTATTGGATCACGGTTTCCATGAGGGAAGCCAAATCTCCGAAGCCTTCACTTGGGCCATATCTTGAAGAGGCCTTCCCGCAAAAGCTTGCCTAGCCGCCACCTGAAGAAGCATGTTTTTTCCAGCCCCTGCAAAGTGGCTTGCAATGTGATCAGAGCCAAGGCAGGTCCTGCCCTTTTGGAGCTCCAAGCCCCCACGCGGGCGTAGCCCACCCCTTCGGTCCTATGGTGCGACCGGGGGCTCGTCGAGGCATTGAGCGCGACCATCGGTTTGGTCTTGCCCAAATTGATGCCCCGCAAGTGACCTGCCGTTCTTTCGAGTTTCGTTTCCGGAGTGGCGCGACGCGAGGAGTCTTGCAGAGATAAGTAGTAGCAGTTGGATCTATCCTTGTGCCTTCCAAACCAAACATCAAGAACGTCCGCCCTCCACAGCTCCCCGATGGCTGATTCACCACCCGGTGAAAGGTACACTCACTGGGCAGCAGTGGGGCTCTTTGTCTATTTTGGAGCCAAGCTGCTCTTAGAGGCCCGGAGGGGAGCCAGGCCGACTAGGATCCCTGCCAGAAGTTGAGGAGGTCCACCGAGATCAGAGTATAGAGGATATCACCTGGCAAGAGCCCTTGGATTGTCCTATGGAACTTTGAGGCTTCTACCATCCTACCATTCTACTTTTGACCCAAAGTTTCCCTTCTAGATACATTCGACCCAACCCTTCATCCCAAAGCTTGCTTTTACACCACATCCATTTCACTCTCCTGGTTTCACGTCCCGAACTCAGCCGGGTTTCAGCCGGTGGCCCCATTTGGGCCGTTTCACCACGCTCGCCGAGGCGCTGCAGATGCTTCGATCCGGCAGTGGATCTGGGCAGAGGGGCCGAGGGGTCAGTTGATTCGGGCGACGACGAGCTAAGACCTCTCCTTTCCGGTAGTGAGTAAAGTTCAAAGGTTTTGGATGGCTCAGGAACATTGCAGATGTTCAAACCATGTGTCCTTTCGTGAACAAAGTGAAGAGCAAAATGGGTGACGCATTGCTTGTTTTCAGCCGCTTTTCTCTCAGTGCCATTGGGGGCACTTGGCGCCGCATAGCCAAACACGAGTTCACCCAAATCCGCCAGCATCATGTGACGGATCGATCAGCAAAGACTCAAAACCATTGCAAAGACTGCTGTAAAGACTCTCTCTCTCTCTCTCTCGTAGTGGAGGTCTCCAAGACATCTTCAAACAGTGTGAGCAAAGTCCAGTCAGAGTTTCAGCTTCAATGTTTCAGCTAGACACTCACCCAACCTGATTCAAAGTTCTGAACCGATCAAAAGAGCTTTCAGCTCAAAGGTCAGTCATTTGAAAGGGGCTTCATGTTGATCATGTGACCTCCATCTGCCCTACCAGCGCGCCTTCGGCGCAGATGCTCACATGCGCCCCTTGGCGGTTGCCGGGCAGGGGTGGGGCAGGGGTGAGCAGAGACAGGGTTTTTTTCGCCCACGCTACATGGCTTGAGCGCCAAAGCGGTTCTCCGATTCTGTGAGGTTGTTGAAGTGGCCGAATCCTCCCAGCAACGAGGTGAACCCCAGCAGAGCCGGAAACTGCCGTGAGGTGCCAAAAGCGCATGGATCCTGCTCAGTTGGAGTGGGGGGACCTGGCTTTGTTTGGTGATCAGAGCAGCTTCAGAACGTCTTTGAGATCCACATGATCCACAATCGAAGACAGGTAGCTCGCTGAGGTAGCTAGGGTCAAACCTCTGAAGGAAGCTTGACGTTTCCAGACCCCACCAACAAAAAGCCGCAGACGGCCGGTTTCTCGCGTTGCCTGTGCCTGAAAACGACCTGTTCCAGGTCGACCTTGGCAGCTACACTTCAAGTGGTGGAGGCTCAACGAGCGCAGCTCCACACCGCCCAGGAGGACGGCGGTGGGACCACCCCCGTCCAATCCGAAAAGCCGGCCGAATCGGCGGCCGAACCGAAGAGCTCCGGTCCTCCTGTTTCAGTTGCAGCGACTTCGTCCGTCGCAGCGTTTTGGTTGGTCGAAAAAGCGTGGATTGGACCCAAGGCAGGAATGGTCACACCGCGCAGGTGTGACCACTTCTTCTCGACTGCACCTAGTCCAAGGGCATGACATTACAACATGCCATGGTGAGGAGCATGTTGCCATGGTCGTGAGTTTTGTGGTTCTCGATTTTGCTTGTGGGTCCTTGGGTTGTTTGCTGTGTTTGGCGGTGTGTGTTTGTGATTGTGTGTTTGTGGCTGTGTGTTTGTGATCGTGCTTGTGGTTGTGTTTGTGGCTGTGTGTTTGTGATTGTGTGTTTATGGATGTGCTTGTGGTTGTCTTTGTGGCTGTGTGTTTGTGATTGTGTGTTTGTGATTGTGTGTTGTGGTCGTGTTTGTGGCTGTGTGTTTGTGATTGTGTGTTTATGGATGGCTGTGTTTGTGATTGTGTGGTTGTGCTTGTGGTTGTGTGTTGGTTGAGGTCCGGCAGCGCCCAGTCAGTGCGCCTGGGGATCTGGCCGTTGAGGTCCAGCGGGGAACACTGTCAGGCGGAGCTCGCGGTTGAAGTCCGCTGGGGAACGTCCGGTGGGGAACACTGCCATCCGAAGCTGGCGGTTGAGGTGAGGAGGAGGCGGACGAGGAGGAGGTGGAGGCGGAGGAAAGCAGCTGACTCTGACATAAAATCTAACATTCAAACCTCACCTGACAGGTAGGGAAAACTCATGTTGCAATCACGTGCCGGGCGCTCGTGGGCGGCTTGGGGAGATCGGGAGCGCTCCAGGAGCTCGAAACCTTGCGCCTGCAGCTGGAATCCGAGCGCAAGGCAAAGGAGGTGGCAGAGGCCAGTGACAAGCTGCCGAGATTGCAGGAACCAAGCTTAGATGACCTGTCATTACCCTGAAGGTTTGGTGGGAGATCTACTTTCTATTGGCACTCTTACTTGGGCAGTTATCTTATCTTCCACTGATTGGCCAGAGGTGTGGGCTTGAAGGGCCAGTAAAGCATGCTGGTAGGAATGCAAAGCAAGCAGCATTAAAACAGCAAACTTCCTCCACTCTTGTAGGGCCTGCGTGTATTTTCATGTGAAACACCCCTCATGCGATCACAAGTGATGCATTTGTCCCCATGGTGGGGATGTCCATGGTGTTGTTTTGATTCTTAGATATAGCATCATTTTTTCAAAAACATCCTGGGACCCACAGCTTCCGACCCCTCGGTGTCCAGGTGTCTTCCGGTGCACGTGCACGGATGCGAAAGATTTCACCACTGGAACGACCGATGAACACCTATCAAAACCTGTCTTTATGATGTAGTTTAAAGGAGGGTGGACATCACTTTTGGAACCGATGTTGGGTAAGCTCTCGCTGACGTGCGATGTGCTTGGCATGTGACCCGTCGGGTCAGGAGAAGCTCCGCGAGGCTTCAGTTGACTTTGCGCGAAAGCTCTCGCAGATGCAGGCGAATAGAAGGATGATGCATACCGAAACGTCCGAATTCGGGTTGGTCTATCTCAAAATGGTGTCGATCTCTCCAACGATTTGGCACTGCCATGCTATAGCTGGAATGCTGATTCGTCATGTTTTGGACATACCGCCAGCTTCCAACCCAACATGTTTGTTTTAATCCCAGCCCATGTCTTGTGCCATGGACCGCGGGGTTCCACGCACCGGGGGCAGACACCATTTCCGATTTTTTTTGCGAACACCATGAGTGGTTCGATCACAAGAGAAGGGCCGTTTCTGGATGAAGCTCTGAAGTTTTATAAATGTGTTTTTAACTGTGTTTTAGTGATTCTGGTAGACCATCATAGACCAGCTTCAAAGAAGTGACCTTTTTTGGAATCCCATCGAGTGATCCTGTCTTACAGGCCCAAGGCACCAGTTCGGTTACGAACCACGAAGGACATCGAAGGACCAGAAGGTCAAAACTTCAAGGGAAGTTCGGTTGTTCTTCCACTGCTTTTTGGGAAGCGAAGCTGCCTGTCGCTCTCTGAAATCGACAGGCGCGCGTCTTCGAAGCGGAGCGGGACGTGGTTTTGGGCGGCCAGGCGATAGGGTCGGCCGTTCGGTGGGGGGGATCGTGGCTTCAGCCATGTGGCTATAGGCTGTGGTAGATTGAACACGGAACACAAATAATAGGGAACTATTCCTTGACTCCAGTTTTTGGGCACGAGTCCCGAGTGTACCCGAAAAAGTGGCCTGAGAGTCGGTGATTTTGGGCTGCACCCAACAGTTCTTTCCACTGCAAAGGGCTGGGCCTCCCTCCGCAGTGGACAGATGTCTTCCGCCACTCAAAGTGAATGCCTTCACCAGGTCCTGGTGGCACGCAGCGGTCCCGGAACTTCGGGCGGGGGGCTCCGGTCGTGGTTCGGTGACGCGTGGGGGGTTCAGATCCTGTACAGGGCTCCGAATCGGATTCTCCCCCACCAAGTTTCACCCTGGGGCGATCGGCGCACTGGCTAACAAGTACTCCTACCAAGCATCAATCTCGAGCCGTATGTTTGTACGTGATCTTGCTTGGAGTTGACATGAACATGTAGCTTTGTTGCGAATCAGTTCACATGCTTTTCCACTTTGCCTTAGCTTGTGATACAGGGTTCTTGGGGTCAAAATCGAAAGAACCATAGAAAAAGCGATGGTTGATCAATAAAGCCTCCCCAAGCAGAGTGGTCATTTGTAATTAGTTCTAATTAAGTTTTATTATGTATATCCATGTTTGGGAGGTTCTATTCGGTCTATCATGATTGGACACCATGTCCTATCTACTGCAAGACTACTACTGCCCAAGTGGCGAACTCGCTAGACTTGTCCTGCAGCAGTGACCCTGTTCGTGATTTGAGCAAGTGGAGCGTACCAGCAGTTCCAATTTTCGAAGGTTTTGCGTTGTCCCATCCGCTCAAAGAGCTCCAAGTTTGGCAGCCTGACATGGGTTTGTCCTGGGAGATGGGTGTAAATGGAACCTTTTTTGGCGCCGAGCCGGCGATCACTCTCTCAACTACCCCCAACACCTGCCTTATAGTGTTGCAACAAGCCGACCTTTCAGGGCTCACTTATATAGCTTAAGCAGAAGGAGCCGTACTCGGACTCGGCGGACCCCCATACTGCACGCCGTTCTCGTGGCATGCTTTTTCTTGTTTGCAGATGACACAACCCTCAACAAAAAGCTACCCTACTGCAAAAGTCCATTGTGGGAGCTGCCCTCAGCCAGTCAAAAGCTGCATTCCATTTGGTGACTACCGGGCTGAGGAATTGTGTCAGCCGCCGTGGAAGGACCTCCCATGTCGATGTCCGTCAGTCACAAGACGGTTCACTTGTGGTTTGGCATGGCATGGTGTGGGGAGGATGGGGTGGGGCATGCGGTCGGGGAATGCAAGGTCACTGTCACGACTTTGTTCAACTGCCATGAGACGTTCAACTTGCGGAAGAGCACTGGTTACTGGATCCCCGAATTCGCTCAATGTCCCTCTGCACTTGACCTCTGCACTTGACAAGAACATGGCTTCGTGAAGCTGCGTGGAGCTCCAAAACTCTGAACCCTCACAGGGCCTGTCGCAGGGCTTCACATTGCAAAGCTTCACCAAGAAAATGGTCGGAGTTCCCGCAAGTGAGGGTGGTCCATCCTGCTGATTCGAAGCAAAACCAACAGCACTACACACGTCTCCTGCACGGTCATTGCCAAGGCAGGACACTTGCCTGCGAAATCCAGGGAGGAAAACGTGTCAAACGAGCAAAACGCGCTGGCCAGTACCTCGGATGAAGTCAAGCCCTCAAGCCCTCCTTAGAATTCGTCAAGTCTCTTTGGGCGGCAAAGAATCTGTGAATGAACCATAAAAGGTCTAGTTCAGTTCCTTCTTTTTGATGATGAGAAACGCTGGAGAATCATCTTCCGAAGGATTTCGCGAACAAATCCAACGGCTTAAAATCCGGAATCCCGCTCAAGTTGGATGAACGGGAGATCTTTTTGGGACTAAAGATGTTGAACTTACAACTGAGCATGCAGAAGTCTTAGATTTGTTCACCCAGCCACTGAGTGGATATGATGTGACAGCACCCCATGTTTTTCCTCCATGGATAGCACATGATAGCACCCAACTCCAATGGAACTGCTGGGTGGGTGCGTCCTCTCGGGCCCGGCCTCGACCAGGACCTCCTCGGCTCCCGGGCGAGACGCCTCGTGGCCCGCGGCGCGCGCCCGTGCCGCCGCCGCCTGGGGGTCCCGGGACGTTGAAGCGAATGGCAGGTCAAGGGAAGGTCAGGGGAGGCCTCTGAAAACACAAGGAACTTAAGAGCGATGGCCTCCAACCTAAGAGCGATGGCACCCACCCTAGTAGCGATGGCCTCCAACTTAAGAGCAAGATGTTTGATCTTGGAGATCCAAGGTCAGGGAGCTTTGTTGGATTGGTCATATTAATCTTGCGTGGCGTGGCACATGGCGTTTTGCCGCATCCCGAGGCCACGCTCGGGAGATGAGGCAGCCTTTAGCCGGAGCCATGTGCCCGGAGCCAGCGGCGTCTGGGCCGAAAGGACCGGTGTTTCGGGGTCCAATCCTCGGCGGTACCGGTGGACTCTGGGTCCGCACGACCCCACCCACCTGTTGGTAGAAGAGACCGTGCTGACTCGACGAGACCGAGAGACCCATGTCTCTTCCGCCTCTTCCGTGATCCCAAACTCTTCCGTGGGGCGCTGGCATCGTAGATGCATCCTTTGAGGCCGGAAAGGATCCCATAAAAGACATCACATGTTCTTGACCATTCTAGACCCTAGAAACCTCACCTGAACAAAAGCAAAACCGTTGAACCGTGCGTCACGCCGTGGCCGCACTTTGCTGAGGCGTCGGCAGTGGGTCTCGCCGCACGCGCTCGGTGCGGGGGGCCGGTTGGGAGACCGCAGGAGTCGAGACCATGCGTGAGTCAGTGCCTCGAGCCACTGGGGGAGATTGGTGAGTAGTTGTTGGACTGATTTCCAAGTGACTGAGAAGCATCAAGGAATCCAGAATCAGACAGACTCTGTAAAACCATATATTATTGTATATAGGACCCAGCTTTGTGGCTGTTGCTGTTGGTCTTCCTCTTGATGAGCTCCTGTGGCACCCCTTGGCCAGGCGCAGCATACGCAGCGGCTGGAGCCTTTGCTGAGCGATGCAGGTCCTTCTCCTCGCCTCATCAAGTGAGACTGGCCACTGGACGATGGCACTCTGCTGACCATCCAGACGGTTGCACCTCGGGGGTCTATTTGATTGATCAAGAGTGCATGATTGATCAAGAGATGTCTTTGAGTTGGATGTCTTTCAGCGCAAGTGGGGCTGCCGGACATGATCCACTGATCACGACCGAAGTTTGAAAAAGATCAGACTGACAGCGTGTCACCATGACCTTGAAGATGCCAGGGTGTGCCACTGTGCTGGCGGTGAATTGGCCGCTGGCACTGGCCTTTTCCGGCGGCTTACAGTGAAAAAAAGAGCTGAGATGTTTCCATAGACACACACACACACACATGCTACGACTTCACGTTCAGGGGCGTGGAATTCAATCTGTGAAACCGAACCAGTTCAAGGTCTGAAACAAGTGGTGAAACCCCACCTGCTTTCGCCATCTCATACCTCGTTGGCATAATCCATGTGTACAGAAACCTTCAGTTTTTGTTGGGTTGCCTAGTTCTACCAGCACCAGTTGCTCACTCGTCTGCTTCACGATGGGATTCCCCACTCAGGCCGAGCGATGAACTGGAAGAGGTAGAGCAAAGCCTCAAGGCGTGACCGACCCCATCACCTCCCGGGTGAACCGCGCTTCAGAAGCGCGGGGTGAACCGAAGAAGAGGATGAAGACCGAACCTTGGTTCTGGCTTGGTTCAGGCATCACTCGTGGACCGGCCGACCTGGGTGGGGGGTTCCACGTCGTGTTACATGTCTTTGGTGCAATGACTATAGGGGGAAGGTGGATCCCAAACGAGCTTCCTGGATCATCTCACGATCGCAGAACCAAGGGTGTCTCAGATGACATTGAGAAGGGATTTCTTTTTTTGGAGGCCCTCTGGCGCCATGGTGTTTTCTTTCTTTTGACCCCCCAAAAGGGCACTCGGCCTGGTGACGGACACACCTGGTCCGTGCGTCCTTGGATGAACATCGCCACGAAGATCGCGCCATGCCATGCCTGGTGCAGGAGGATAGCTCGAAGCAGAAGAAGTTCTGGTCCGTGGCCGTTCAGGAGGGACTGGACTTGGATGAGACATAGAGTGACTTGGATGAGACAACGACAGCCTAGTCGCCTAGGCGGGACGTGTACACCCCAAAGGATCCATAGGTTGCTTGGGCTCTGGTCTCTTCATTGGCAGACCGTCTCTCCCATCCCGCACCAGCGATGTGAGACATCGCACCTGCTTCGTTCGCCACCGGGGGATTCCAAACCAGAGCGCCCGAACGAAGCAGTGACCTTTCGGCGCTGTGGAGGCCTTGACACTGACCTTCTTGGCCGAGTGGGGAGATCGATCTCAGATCTCTACCATCGCCTTGGCCGCCGCCAAGGAGCCGGTCGCGGTCGCGGGGGCGCGCCCGCGAAAGGTGGTGGACCGTTGGCGGAAGCTGGAAGCGGAAGCCGAGCCACTAGTAGTGTCCTTGCTCTTAGGTTCAAAAAGACACGCTGCTTTTTTGGAATGTCTTAAACAAGACCTGTTGCAGATCCAGCGTGTGGAGAGACCTCTCGTCACGCTGGAGAGACCGTTGACCTCGAGTGGCCCTCGGAATTCCGAATTCCGGGCCCTCCATGCCATCGTTCGCTCGATGCACAAATTTGTGAACGGCCTTCGAGTGGGAGGGGAACTCACTCCTTCAACCTTAGAACGGGGAGGAAAACATCTTGAATCTCCGCACTCCTTGAAATCTACGAAAAGCGAACTTCTATCCGGGTTTGTGGCATCTTCTCCAACTCGCTAACAGTCCAGAGAAATCGGATGACTATCCTGGATGGCTTCAATTAACCGTCATTTCAGGACCCCTTGGGCGTGACCTTGGGCGGCATCATCGGTCATTCCTGCTGTACGACCTTGGCAGCTGGGAGCTGAGAGAGATTCGCCAACGGGTCAAGATCGGAGTGTTCAGTCCTGGAGTCCTCCCTGTTCTCCGGATTCAGACTCCCCCAGATTCAACTTGGATCGCTGTAGAGATCCCTTTTGGTTTCCATCGAACCGGACCCAGACCACCCACCCTCCAGCCACCCTCTCCTTTTCTCACCTGATTTCACCTGATTTCGCCTCCACTTCTTCCATTCCCGCGAAAAAACGGATTGCTTCAGGTCATGGGTGGCCGTGTGTTGGCGGAACACATCTCCGAGCGGATGGTGGTCACCGCCGGCGGAGCCACTTGGACCCAACCCCCCCGTGGTCGTGGGTTGGCGTGGCGGCGCCTGGTGTGGGGTCGGTAGAGCATGCGAGGAGACTCCAGATCCTGTTTCTGGGTGGTCTGATTCGACCAAATGTCGAAGAGCTCGTGGCAGGCCTCGCAGGCATGCAGGTGGGATGATGCAGTGCCACATGGCTAGAGGCACCAGGAGACCGACTGGACTTATCCGTAGGTGTCGGTCGTTCGCTACCCAGGTGGGACTGGTCTGGCTCCAGGTTGAATCGAAGGAACCTTCCCCACCTATACTAGCGATGGCCTCCAAGCTACTTGGAACGACCCATCCCCACATCCGCTGCAGGTCCTCTTCCTCTGCTTTGCACTACATGGCGCCATCATGGGCGCCGACTGAGCCGGCCTGCTGCGACGCAGCGGCCAGACATGCGCGAGCGCAGCGCAGCGTTGACATAAGCGGCGACGCCACGGATCCATAGACCTTTGGTTCAAGAAAGTGAGGAGAGTTTTGTATTGGGCGAACAGTGAACAGGTGTGTATTCATTGACCAGTTTGTTGGCATGAAAGAAAAGGGGCCCAAAAAGGTGGGCGCCTTCCACCCTTCCATTTCCACCGGAAGTGGTGTGCATTCGCACTGTGCCGGAGAAGTTGTTGCGCCGGAATTCCGTGCGCACCTTAGTCGGTTCAGAGGGATCAGGGCGTCCATGACGCGTCTCACCAGTGTGAGAGGTCTCCAGTTGGAGTTTGAATCTGAATTGGACAACTGCATTCTATTGCAATTTTGTCGGAGCCTCCACGGTCTTTTCTTTAGCTAGCTTGAGGTAAAGCCCTGCTGCCCCCTGTGAGTGTGCTGGCCGAGGAAAAGAAGGACGGCCAGAAGTGCGTCTAATAGTCTAATGGCTCAAATCTAATCTTAAGTTGGGGGAGACAGCCTAGCCAGCCGTACCGTAGAGGACAACGCCTGAGCAACCTTTGTCCAGCCTCAGAACCCCCAGAGGTTCTGTGATCAAGGCGCACCATCGACCTTGCTCAAGGTCATCTCATCGGTCAAAAAGAATGCCCCGTTGCAAGCTGTGGATCTTGACGCTACGGAATACAAGTGACGCTACAGAGGGAACACCTGCGCCATTCCCGAATCGAGCTGAATCTACCAGCAACCCGGAAGCACCTGCTCATCCTGCTTTGCTCGCTGGCCAAATGGAAAAGTATGCAGAGTATCCAGGTAAGGTATTTCCGGCCTTGAAGACACATGCAATGGTCAGCTTTATCATTCTTGAGTCCAATAGTTTGGTGAGCACCCCAGCAGCGCCCCGTCCCATTTGCCTGGCTGAATTCCCTCACTCAAATCAGGTTTAAGGGGCCTGGCGTGCGATTTACAGAGAGATGGCTGGGAAGGCTGCAAGGTTGCGCACTGGCTGAAAACACCACGGGGTGGAAAGAGCAGACAGTGTGGGAAGGTGGAGCAGATGCAAATGGATGATTGGCTTGTTGCTGGTTTATAAATCACGCCCATGACACCCAACATGGAGCGAATAGAGCGCTCATGCACACACTGGAGGAGCAGACGTGAACCCACTGCAACAGCCCAACAACCACCACGTTTTGCAAGAGAGCGGGTGTGCTTGGGAGAGCACATACTAGCTCAAAACCTTTAGAAAACACTGCAAATACCGTGCAACATTTCAACAACTGCTCTGGGACCTAGGCGAAGCGCATATTTTTCAACCTTCCTGTGCCCAGTCTGGGTGTGCAATGTCAATTACAACAATTAACAGCTCTTCGTCTGCCCACTATCAATGTGTAACACCAATGACAAGTAGGTTAATCTTTCGCTGCGCGCAATGAATGTAGCATCATGAGCGAATATATATATATATATTTATATATTATATTATATTATATATAATACTATATATACACATCAAAATGAACATGTATGTCAATGATAATGCTTTAGTCTCTTGCTTATCTGGCTTTTCATGATGTATTCTTACGTGTCCATTTTGTAAAAAAACACATCTCCCAGGAGCATCCGTATTGTCAATAAACAGGCCCCCCCCCCTCCCCCCTCACTTTGACCTTGAATAAAGTTCATTCCAGATTCTAAGAAAGGAGTTTAAGAAGTAAATGAAATGAATCTTTACTTAGAACAAGTTCCTGGAATTGAGATCAAACAGACTTCAAAAAAAAGAATTTGTAATAAGTAAATGAAAAGACTCTTTTGTTAACACAGAAAGAAATTCTAAGAAAGGAACTTAATAAGGAAATGAAATGAATCTTTACTTGGAACAGAAAGGGAAGAAAAGAAAGAAAGGAATTTAATAAGTGAAATGAATATTTTACTTGGAACGGAAAGGGATTTCTAAGGAAGGAATTTAATAAGGAAATGAACTGCATCTTTACTTACAGTAGATACTTAGAACAGGCAACAAACATGTTTAGCTTTATTTTGGGTGCACTATATTTAGGGTATGGTGGCTTCAAGAAAGGAGTTTAATAAGGAAATGACATGAATCTTTACTAAGAACAGAAAAGGATTTCAAAGAAAGGGGCTTAATAAGTGAAATGAACTTTTACTTAGAACAGAAAGGGAATTCTAAGGAAGGAGTTTAATAAGGAAATGAAATGAATCTTTACTTAGATTCTTCGAACAGGCAACAAACATGTTTAGCTTTATTTAGGGCGCACTTTGTTTAGGGTATGGTGGCTTCATGAGGGGTAGCCTTTGCAGAGTCGTTTTGATCAAATTTCAATGGATTTTCTGCGCAGGACTTGCGTTTAGCGATACTATCGGAAGCACAGCGGCGCCAGTACTCGGCAAAAGCAGTTGTACAAACCCTGACATCTATGCAACCGTGTCAAAAATGTAATATATTAAAAAGACCAAAGTTTAAGAAAAACCAAAGAACCAAAAAAACAAAAACCCAAAAACCAAAAACCAAAAAACCCAAAACCATGAAAACCATAAACACAAAAAAAACATGTTTGAGACCACATGGAGGCAAAACCAAAAAACAAAAAGCAAAAACAATCCAACTCCTATAGTACCCCCATTTTGTCTCAAACATTGTTTTTTGTTTTTTCATTTTTGTTTTTTGTTTTGTAGTATTCCCTCAAAACTGTTATAGGCCTGGCCCGCGCAAAATTGATCTAACAATAGCTCAAAACCTAGGTTTTGGTGATGGTTTAGCCAAAAATCACTGTAAAATCGCTGCCGGCTCTGCAGCCAGCGCGCTTTTCTGCGCGCGATCCCCGCGCGGTCCGCGCGGCCATATGCCTCCACAGGCAGAGAACATTGTGTTGGGATCTGTGATGGGTCGCCAACAGAATGACAGACCTGGTATTCACAGTGGCCAGTGGTCGTCAGAATGACGGTTGGTTGTGAGGTTGAACAATGTTGAGTACGTAAGGGATTGGCCCAAACATGTTTTTGGACGCGGTTCGTTCGCAGATGACCTGGCTGAAGAGGCCGTCGGAACGAACCGCAGCGTCCTGTTGGCTTCAATGGTTCGAACCGAGGGCAGTTGTAATGTTGAATGCTACTCGTATGAGGTGTTGCTGACAATTTGCATTGAAAAAGTATGTGCATGTCACCTGTAGCCTGTGTGCACTCAATGCCACCCGTGCAGTCTTTCAGTCTCTCTGGCTCCCTCTCCAAATTTTACTGTCAGAGATGCCGAAAGTAAGCAACATATTCTGACACATATCATAATCTTATTCATACTCTGCTGAATCGCATTCATTTTGGATCTTGAAAGAAGCCGATTGTTTGAATTGTTGGGTTCAGGTTCTTGTTGCTTGGGGCCTCCTGTTGTATTGGTAGCCTCCCAAACACAAGAATGGGCAGGGGCAGAAAATATGTCTGAGACAACAGCTTGAAACGCGACCGCACCACCCACATGAAGACACACCTTGCATTGTTTTGAAGCAGCCTGTCTGGATGCTTCTCTCGTCCCAAGATTGTCAGGCTGTACCCGACGGCCCGATTGCTCGAGGGGAAGGCACGTCTGGTTTGCTGCGAGGGAGTTTTAGGTTTGGTTGTGGATCATGAATAGTATCTGGGGCATGATACATGAGGTAGTGGCAGAACAACGCAAGGCATGAGATCATGAGTTGCTCAAGCGGGTCCGGACAAGCCAACTGCAACGAACACAGCCAGCTGCTTTCAGCAGCTATTTGCAAATCCAGATCTGGAAATTGACATTGCTGTGATCCATCAACACTTTGGCAATCACCAGTCATCAGAGCATAGACCATTTTGGAGGATCGTACAGTAATCTGACCCCAAAGGGGAATGACGATTTGCTGGTGAAGCTGTGAATTTCTGCAGAAGCAGTGAAGAACTTTGTAAGACTCCATTGAGAGAAGAATCAACTAGTAACTAGCTTGCTGAAGACTAACATGGACACTGAAAACCACTGGTTTGTAGAGGAAAACAGTATTTCAGGTCGACCATTTGCTTGGGGCTCATCTTGATGGTTTACAGTGTTGCATCCACACCCAACCTATGGTCAAGGGTTGGGTGTGAGCAGTATTGGGAGCCCGTGCGTTTTGTGTAGTAGAGGAAAGCAGTAATTCAGGGTGCCATTCTCAGGATCCATGTGCGTTTTCTGGATCCATGTGCTTGTTGATACTGTATACCTTCGTGGTGATGGTGGGCGTATGGCGTATTCTGCGTGGGTTTTCCGGATCGGATCCTGTCCGTATTGGAAGTGTTGGACGTACGGGCTTGTCACTAGAGATCAATGATGAAACCGGCGGATGAATCGTACAGCTTGGAGCTTGCTGTTTCCTTTGGGTTAGCTTATGAAGGTTGATGCTGGCCAACTGTCGCAGCTATTTACGCATCCAGCGAACATTCTACCTCTCTACGTATCCGATCGCCGCTTTGCTTAAGTCGTCCTTTCTGACGCCGCTGAGGTCATTTTTTGAAAACGAACAAGAAGCTACTAGGTGGAGGCCATCGCTATTAGGTTGGAGGCCATTCCTACTGGAGGCCATCGCTATT